TATAGAAATACTACTATTTTGTATGAATTATAATGGTGGAACTTTTGAAAGACTTTTATTTTGTAGAGTTAACTTTAGCACTTTAAAAAGAAATGTGTCAAAGTTGTTTTTCTTAACTATTATCAGATGTTAATGGGACAGATGTGTTATGTGGCAACATGTGCTGACTATATAGCCTTTGTTTAGGGATTATGTTTTTGTGACATATGCAATCTTTTGATAAATTGAACCCAAGCTTTGGGAAATGTATAAAAGAAAATACATTTCACCAATTTGGCAGTTCAGTTCTTAACTGTTAACTGATTGTTTAAACTTATTTGTTTAGAACTAGAACTCATTTACTCAATAGATATTCTTTAAATGAAATACTGGTATTTTGTTGAATTATTTCTACCGAAATTACATTTATTAAGACTATTTGTGGATGAACTTGAAAAGTTCTATTTGTTTGAGTACTTTGGTGCATTGATAAATGATTGGAAAGGACGAGTACTGCTCTGAAGAAGCAGAAATTCCTACAATTATAATACAACAAAGTACAAATCCTTTGACCAAGTAAATCTAAGCTTTGGTAAAAATCTTTTGTATAGTAAAAAATGGTAGAATTTGACTAGAATTAGTTTTTCAATTGAGTAAATATTTTACTTTTCCTTCCATTGATTGTTAACAATGGAAAAGGCAAGTAATAAGTTATTGATGACAGATATAAGATATGTTGATTTTTTCTCCAATGTGTTGAGCATGTTTTGTATCATATTTCCAAAATAAAAATTTATGGCTCTTGAAATTGTATAATGATTTTTCATAAATCATTCTGGTCAGGTAATAATGCAACAGTAGATATTATCCCTTTGTATTTATTAATGAATAAATACTGAACTTGCATGCAAAACTTTAAGTCTATAGATAGGAATATATCAAGTATTAAAATCTTTATTTCCTTCTTGTGTTTTTGGTTAGGATTTTTGAGTTGTGTTAGTTGTAATGAATCGACACTGATAAATCAAGTATAATTTTTTTATCTTTGTATGTGCCCAAACTCTTTTTCCATGCATTCCCAAAACTCTTGCCATCACCCTTAATTTCCCAATATCCTTCTATTTTATAACTATTGTACTGCTCTTGCTTGGCAAAATCTATGCGCTTGAAAGTTATAACAATACTGGTTCTACTCGAACCTTTAAACAAATGTTTAAATTAAAACGGTTTATTCGCAATAATAATACTTAAGCAAGTAACAATATGAGAGTTCAATAGCAGAGTTAGGTTAGGACTTGGGGTTAGGGTTAGGCCACACCCTAGGCAAGTTAATTAAATTATAACTTGACCAAACCTTTATTGGTAATTAAAGATGAGCCTTCAAGCTGACTAATGAAACCTCTCTTTGGCCAATGTTATAGCATTTTCTTGCATAGATTTTTAAGATGTACATGTATAAGTTGCATAAAATAATAGAGTTCAAGCATGTTAAATATAACCAATGTTGTACACATGTACTATGATATCTCAATTATATTCTGTAATTAATTGATGACTATTTTCTATAAAACTTTAAACAAACTACTTTAAAGGGGACAACCAATTTTGACTGTTTATTGAAAGTTGGTCTTGCAAAATTTACTGTGTCCAATTTTTCCTGCCATTTCCTTTATGGTTTCTCTCTATATTCTGATGTTTAACTTGTTAACTGAAGCAATTCATTATTATTAAATATTAATAATTAAGAATGCTGTATGTTTTGAGAGTGTTTTCTGATCTTAAGTGAATGCTTTTTATCTCAACCCAAAAATACCATATATTCTACTTGCTGTGTTTAAATCAATACAAGAGAACAAAGAAAAGAAACACTCATTGATTAATATTCCATATGTATTCCTGTTGAAAGAATGTTTTTTATATTTCTGACATTTTAGAAATAAGGAACAAAAAATGAACTGAGGAAGCCCTATGAATTTTTCATAAATTGAATGAAGACATATTCAATCGAAAGATTGATTATTAATCTTTCTAAACAAAATTTTGAACTTTTATATTAATAATTCATAGAAATATTTCCTATATAACCACATAATGTTTTCTTATACATCTCAAATACGCTTTAGATTTTCCAAAAAAATAATGAATATTTTAATTTTTCAATTAATAACAATATTTCTTTTGACAATAAGAAATAATGATTGTGCAAGTAAAAATTATGATTTTTATATTTATTCATATTTCTCCTTATCTTTTATTAATATACAGTTTGCGATTTCTTTCATCAAGAAGATAAACAGTTAGCAACAAGCACATATGTTGTTATTTATAATATAGATGATAGAGGAGTAGACTATTGTAAAAAGTTATGCTATTATCTTGAACTTTGCAAGTATGTTTATAGAAAGAGAGAGAGGGAGAGTAAAATCTACACATTTTTTCCACTTTAGGAGTTTCTATGTTGATAAACAGGATAACAACAAATGTTATCTTTCAACTGACCATGCAGGATTAGGAGGAAGTCAGTTACCTCAAGTCATTGGTTATGATTATTATGAAAAACCAGATGTTTGTGGTAATTAAAAAGTGTTAGATTTTTTTGTAAAATAAAAGTATAAATAATTTCTTTTTCAGATACTCCACAATTTGGAGACACAAGTAAATAACTAAATGCAATAAAAGCAAAGTACATAAATATATTAATAACATTTCTTTGTTTTTGTCTGTCTCCTTCCCCTTTAAAGTTACCTATAAAAGTTATCCTGATCAGCTTGGCGGATTTACTTATCATACAGTTTTTAATACAGGTGAAGCTGACTGCAAAAAACTTTGTAGCATGCTCAGTGATTGCAAGTTAGTTATAAAATATAATAAATGTCTTATAATTTTATCATTTCTTTTTTACAGTACAATTAGTATTGTAACTTCAAATCAGATATGTCACATTTTCAAAGCAACCTTTGATGAACTTACAGATCGTCGTCAATCAGTAGGGGATACTACATTTTCAAAAATTGGTGTAACAATTGAACCTTCATTGGATCCAGGTAAAGAATGTTTGTTTATTTTCAAACCCAAATCAATTAAATAGTTATCTTCATTTAATCATTTAACATATAACAACATGCCACAACATTAAAACTGCATGTATTCCACTTACAAAAAGTGTCAAAAAATTTAGGGTTTGGAAAAGGTTTTTTTTGACTAAATCAAAAAAGAGAAACAGAATTCTCAAACTTCAGGGTTAGGTCTTGGGGTTAGGGTTTTAACGCCCTAGAGTAGCACTCTCACTTTCTCCATGAGTGATACCCTTGGAAGGTTGCGTTCCACATTGAAGAATAACTATTCTGAATGACGGCAGGTTAATCTCTTAAGAACTGGGACCCTGAATTGTCAATTAGACGTGATACAAGGACCATTCCTCCGATTACGGGTTAGGGTTATTGTAATGTTGAACTAGATACTAAGATCTAAGTTCTGATGAAAGTTGAATAACTTCCACCAAAGTTTCAAGAGATTCCACAATGGTATGGAATGCAAGAGTAAGAACACTCTGTACAAGTAAGACTATCTACAACTGATTGATGAAAAATGTTCAGTTTATGTTTTAATTTTTTGATGGTTACTAAGAATAGTTGACCTACCATGGTTTTGTCTTCCCCTTTAGCAAAGACTCATCAGGGTCATTTCAGAAGATAGCTTCACTTACACTACTTTGAAGGGGAGGTGAGGACCAATTCTGCAATTGTATCCTGCCTTGCATTCTATTTTAGTTGGATGATTGTGTTTTAGAGGATACATGTTTGTAATTTTAATTTTGGAACAGATTTTTTTCTTTGTACAATGTTTGAGTTATGTAGAGTGTATAAAGTAAATTCATATTTGTCTGATAAGTCTCATTTCAACAAGGAAGAAATGGCTTTGTTTAATGAATTAATTTTGAATGGATATGGTTTTTACTTGACAAAGAAACAAAAATTACTTCAAAGAAACACTATTGTACTTTTCTTTGAACATATAAATTATAGAAATGTATAACTCACTCTGGTTTTCTTACACATTGTGTTCTGAAAATTTCTTCCTAATGCAGCCTGTAGAAGGTTTTTGGGTTATTTTTGTCTTTGTTTTGTTGTTTCTTGAGGCTGATTTCTTTTTATGATGGTATTTTTTTTCAACTGATGATATGTGGCTTGTTGTTACCCTTTTATAGGTGGTGGTTATGCAATTGACATATATCAAGATATTGCATTTTTTCTTGAAGGTCATGTTTTACTGTGTAAGTCCTTCCTGGGATATGTCTGTTGACCATCTGTTGCTTCTATATGGTAAAGTAAATACAAGGGATTTATGATGGACCTACAAATTTAATGAAGTACAATAAATGTATTTTTTTTGGTCTAAACAAACACAACATCAAAATGGACTAATATAATGTATGTTTTCTAAAATTGCTTTTTTCTTCTTAGGCTTGATAAAATTATTCATTTGAAATATAAACATGCAAAGAATTAATAATTTTTATGGTTGAAAGTAACACTTCTGATTAATTTTACTGTTGATTTGAAGCTTGGAGAATTGGTCTGTTTAATTTCTTTTTTCTTCCAGTTCTACTTTGTTGTTGTTGAAAGACTTCTTTACACTTGACCATAATTTCATTGGTAATCAAGTGTTGAACAATATTTCTCAAAGAAGATATCTTTCCAGGCAGAACAGTACCATGAAAAGGATCTCCTCTTATGATGGTATTAATATCAATAATTTTTGTAAACATGTTGTTCAAGTTTTCAGATTGTGAGGCTGGTTGTTGATGCAGATCACTTTTTTTTATGTTATATTGCATAAATAATAAGCATTCATTAGTAACTCCAGTGCTTTTATACAAAGCTTTAAAATTATCATCAGCATCATTAATGGTGTTAAAGGGAATGTGAAGTGCTGTTATATGACTTTTTATTTTCCATTTGGATATAATTTCTTTACAATTTTGAAAGGTTAAGCCAGAAATGTTTATAATGAGAACAGTTCCAAAAAAGCTGATGTTTCTTTTAACATCTTCTACCTGAATTAAATCTAAGTCACCCAAACTTTCATCACTTAAAAGAAGTAAATTAATTTTGTTGGGAAATCCTACAGCTGGTTGTTGTATTTTCATAAGATTGGTAATTTCTTCCTTTCCAAGATTCACTCCAATTTCTGTAAAAGATCTTACCATTTCATTAATATTTGAATTGTGTTTTCTATTAATTTTCATGTTATTGTTATATTTTAGAATATCATCAGTTTCATTAAGTTGTTGTAAAATCAATTCTACCAATTGTTCCTTGTTGATACTATTTGATATGCCTTCTTCATTAAGCCACAATTTTTCATTGCAAAATTTTTTAAACTTTAACATTTTTTCTACAACATCTTTCTCATATTGACTTGGATCAAAAGTTGGTGGGTGAATTTTATTGTCTCTTTTAAACCTTTGAAGATGATTATAAAATGTTCCAAAATTGAAAAATTGTTCAAAAGAACATTGCAGGAAATGTTCCATTTCAATTGTTTCATTGATGATTATTTGGTCATTTTCTACTCTTTGAACTTGATTTGGTTGCATGTTTGCCATTTTGGAAGATCTAAATACAAGAAATTTTTATTGTAAAAGTTTTTGCAATTTTGTAACATAATACAAAAAATAATTTTAAATGAAGAAAGATAGACTACATGAACATAGGCTACACTGAACAGAATTAATCATTCTAAACTAAATCCTTCTAAAAATGTATTCAAAGCTTAAATTTTCTTCTTAATCCTACGTCCAGTTCTAATTATTTTCTCCACAGCAGTTGTTGGTTGTAAATCATCTGTTTTATCATCCATCTTTCTTTTTGTGGTAAACTTTCTTGTTATTGTATCAAATTTAGGTCTTTTCTCTGGTAGAGAAGAAGGAGTAGTAGAGTTAGATGTATTATCAGACACATTTTTTCTTTTGTAAAAATGTTTGATTGTAGGTGGTACAGCTTTATTCATTGAATCTTGGTATTTTTGTGGTGTTTCCTTATCTGATGAACTCTTTTTATCAAATAAAGATGATATATTGTGTTTTTCCTGTTTAAAGTAAACATTGTTATTAATTAATTTGAAATAACTACTGACATTGTTTGTAAAAGCAAATATCAGGGGAATATTTTTATATACCAAATAATTTTTTCCAAAATTTCTATAAGTTATTGCTATTTTTTTTAATAAGGGTCCAATATCATTTCTATATGGAATAACAAATGGTACTCTTGTAAAAACTTGACAACTGGTGTATCTGGCTAAACCAAAGGGATAATAAAGAATATGTTTCATATTCAAGTGATAAACATATCTATTAATTTCAACAGTTGATATATCTTTTTCAATTTGTTCATAGGGAAATATTGTTATGTTTAATTGATTTTCTGCAAAATGTTGATGTTGTATAAAGTTTTCAACAAGCTCATCATTTTTTAATTCTAAATATTTTCTTAATAGAAGGTGTCTTAGTGTTTGGAATATGTTGACTTTGGTATATTGTTCTTGTAAGTGGAAATACATATTTTTATTACTACATATTCTTATCTTTTTTTGACATGTTTGTAGAAATTTCTCACACATACATTTAGTTTGCTTATCTGTGCTTTAAAAGTTTACAAATTTTATGTTCCCACATATCTGTTAGCATTATATGGTTTTATTTAAGCTTGATTAGCTTGTAGCATGTTCCCACAGGCTTTTCCATGTGCCTTATATATATAGCAAATATTTTTTCACAGTGATCATTTATAATTTGGAGATTAGGGAGTCAACATCACATTAAAAGTATCCAGTTAAATAAACATCTTCTACAATTGCTTTCAAAATATACATCCTTCAATAATAAAAATGGTATGTACATGATTCATAATACTGTATTATTTTAAGTAGCACTTTTATTATGGTTTATATTGAATAAAAACTGAAGAAGAACCTTCCCTATTGGAAATCTTCAACCTCTCTATAGGTGTAGGTTATTAGACCCTGATGAGTCCTTGGTTTTGAACATAGAGAGGAGGACGAAACTGTGGTAGGTCGAGTAGGTAGGAAATTATCAAAATTTCAGAAAAAAAATTTTTTGAAAATTTTTTGAAAAAGTTTTTTATATTGGAAATTGTTTTAAATGTCGATTTTGGTGTGTTTTTTCTTTGACTGCTTCCCAAAAACAATTGGGACTCTTGAAGTGTGAGAATTTTGTTTCTCTTTTTTGATTTAGTCAAAAAAAACCTTTCTAACCCTAACCCTAACCCTGGGTTAAACTAACTCTGTTATTAATAATCATAAAGCTTTCAAAGTTGGTACATACACTAATATTAATGCTCCGATCCTAAATCCTTTTACAGAATTCAATTATCTTGTATGGTTCAAAAGTTATGGCGCTGCTAAATTCTGTTGCTATTTCTTCTCCATAGGTCTATATAAAATATTCGTTAGGGTTGATAAAAGTTAGTTAATATGTACAATAGAGCTTTGAAATTCAGTTCATATAGTAATATTGGTACGCCGATTTCAAATCCGTTTACAGAATTCAATTATCTCTTTTGGTTCAAAAGTTATGGCAACTTTATTTTTTCGTCGATACTTTGTATTTAGGCCTTAAAAAATATTTGTCATCTGAAAACTAACTTTCTTATTAGTTAGCTTAGAGCTTTGAAACTTGGTATATAGACTAATTTTGGTATGCCGATCTCAAATCTGCTTACAGAATCCAAATATCAGTACTGTTTTTGAGCTATTTGCAATTAAAGTGTTTTACATTTTGCTGTTATAATTATTTTTATTGTTATGATGTAGTTGTATTAAAAAGGTAATTGTTTAAAATGACTGTTTGTATTTGTATTTTTTTTGTGAATTTTATTTTCTATATTTGAGTTTCAGTGTGTTTTTTAATAATTACATGATTCTTTTTTAAATCCTACAGTGTAAAATGGACAATACACTGAACAGATGTGATTTTAAAATATATCTTAATCTTTTGAATAAGTTTTAAAAAATTTTTCTTCCTTTACAGATTTCTATAGGTGGGTCAACTCCACTGAGAGAGAAATGTATGAAAAACTTGTCATTCAATATTCAAGAGCCAACTTAATTCATCAACTGAAATATATTTTCAAGGTGCTAAAAAACAGTATGAGCAATGACTATTGTAAAACTTTTAGACCAGGATTGTACAAACAATTTCTAAACATGCAATTAGTTGGAGATGAAAAAGTAACTGATGATAAGGAGATGGTTAATGATTTTGAAGAAATGGTACAAGATTTTGAACAAAAGTTTGAAAATTCCATTAAAAAGAGGTATAAAAAAAGAATAGACTTAAAAGATTATATCTTTCTTGAGCCTCTCTTAAAGTCATGTGAAAGTTGGTTAGAAGTAAATAAAATATTGATGTTTTTAAAAGGCAAAATATTTGGCAATGAATCCTGTATAGAAGTTGAGGACTTGTTTAAAAATATACAAGAAATATATCATAAACAACCAGAAGAACCACAGCAAGAATTAGAACAGCCAGAGGAAGTTCAAGAAGAAAAAAAAGAAGAAAGAGAACAAGTTGTTAAGCAAAATGAAAATGAATTAGAACAACCAGAGGAACAACAGCAACAACAAGAAGCAGCAAGAATCAGAACAAGAGGAACAACCAGAAGAACAATTAAAACCAGAAGAGGAAGAAGAGCAAGAAGAAGTGTTATACTTTGAAACAAATCATCAGAATGAGCAAGAGGAAGAAATGGAGGTTGAGGAAAATGATATTGATGAAGCTGAATCAGAAAAAATTAACACTAGCAATGAATTATATATTAAACTCAAAGATCACAATGAAGAGTTATTCTTGCTGAGAAATTGCTGCTATCTTACTAAAATAAATTACAGAATGATAAATGAAGAAAACCAAAAAGAACAGAAAAATTTTTTAAAATATCTCATTCCAACAATAAGGCAGAATTGTAAGATTATTTTTATTACAAATAATTTCTTTCATTTAACTAAGACAGAATTTAATAATATTCTGAAAAATCTTGACATAGAAAATGTTCAATTTGTTGTAATTAGAAAAATATGCTTCAAAAGAATTGAAAATGTTTTATGTGATTGGGGGATTAAAAACAAAGTAATAGTATTCCTTTGTAAAAAATACCCCAAAAGTGCTGGATTCATTCCTTGTCAATTTCTTAAGAAAATTGAAAACAATTCAAATAAAGTTTTCTTACAAAAGAACTTTCTACCACCAAGAGTTGAAAGTACACTTAGGATTGCAAAATTCCAGTTTATAGACTTCATATTCAAAGATTATAAAAAAGAACAAACTTGTTTATTGAAATTAATGAAGCAATTTTTGAAACAATTATACAGACAACAACTTCATCTTTTTTTTTTATTTTATGTTTTTAATTCTAGATTATAGATTATATCACTTTTTTTCTTTTTAATAAAAACAATTTTTTAAAACAAAAATTACTTTGCATTCAATTAAATTTACAATTTTGATTCATTGGAATTTAATATAGGCTCATTCTATCAATAATTTTGCTTCAAATTTGATCAAAAATGGTGCAGTAGTTGCTGAGATATGGATTCCTATGAATGTTATATATAAACTCTGTTTTGACAATTAAAATATTCGTCATCCAAAAACTAAATTTGTTATTAATTACGATAGAGTTTTGAAATTTTGTACTTATACTAATATTAGTATCCTAATCTCACATCTTTTTACATTAATATTTTTTAAATGAGAAATACTTAATAAATGTACCAAATGTCTTTCGAATTGTCCATATTTTTTGTGACAATAATTTTATTTCAAATTTAATCAAAAATTGGTGCAGTAGTTGCTAAGATATGATTTTCTTTGAATGTTGTATTTAAACAGGGTTATTAGTGTATATAAAAAAATATTCGTCAGAAAAAAATTAAACTTGTTAATAGTTAAGATAGAGCTCTAAAATTTTGTACATAATTTAATATTATTATACCAATTCCAATTCTTTTTACAGAATTGAGTTATCTCTTATGGTTCCAGAGTTATGGCTCCATCAAATTATTTCTCATATATAAACCTATACAAAATATTTGTCATGGCTGCACTAACTCTGTTGTTAATTAAGATGTATATTTGTAATTCTGTACATAGATTAACATCACTACGCCTATCATAAATCTTTTTACAAAGTTCAATCATCTCTTAAGGTTCCAGAGTTTTGGCACCATTAAAATTTACATGTTCTTTCTTTCATAAAAGCCTTTTTTAACATATTTGTCAGGGTAGCACTAACTCTGTTGTTAATTAAGATAGAGATTTTAGATTCAGTATATAGACTAATACCATAATGCTAATATCAAATTACTACAAACTCTTATCTCTATTTAGCATGTTTGTAGAACTTTCTCACACACATAGGTTTAATTTGATTATTTGTGCTTTTAAACTTTACTAACTAACTTTATGTTCTCACATTGGCATTATATAATTTTATCTATAGTTGATATGTTTGTGGCATGTTCCCACAGGCTTCTCCATATATTATATATACAATGTAGGCATTTTTTCACCGGATTCATTTGTAGTTTGAAGATTAAGGAGTCAACACCACATTAAAAGAAGATAGTTAAATGTACCACTTCTCCAATTCCTTTCAAAATATACATCTTTCAATGAAAGAATGGTATGTATATATTTCATTAAACAGTATCATTGTAAATAGCACTTTTGATATGATATATATTGAAAAAACCTGAAGAAGAGAATTCCCTATTGGAAATCTTCAACCCCTCTGTAGGTGTAGGTTACTAGACCCTGATGAGTCCTTGGTAATGAATATAGAGAGGAGGACGAAACCGTGGTAGGTCGTGTAGGTAGGAAATAATAAAAAATTTCAGAAAAAAATTTTTTGAAAATTTTTTGAAAAAATCTTTTCTTTTGGAAATTGTTTTAAATGTCAATTTTGGTGTATTTTTTCTTTGACTGCTTCCCAAAAACAATTGGGACTCTTGAAGTGTGAGAATTCTGTTTCTCTTTTTTGATTTAGTCAAAAAAAACCTTTTGCAAACCCTAACCTAACCTAACCCTAACCTAACCCTAGCCCAAAAGTAAACAAAAGTACAAGGGCTTTCAGGATCAAGAACTGGTCTCTAACTTACTTAAATCAAACCCTAACATCATTATAAAACCTGCTGATAAGGGTAGGAGAATTGTAATCATGGATAAAGAAGATTATGTATATGAGGCTCTTACACAACTTATGGATAGTACAACTTATAAAATAGTAGATCAAAAAATAAGCTCTACTAAATGGGCTAGAATCAATGAAATCCTACAGGAACTGGTCAAGAGAAAGATTATAAATAAGGCTACAGCAGCTTTGATAGCACCAGAGAACAATGATGGGGAAAGAATTTTCTACCTACTTCCTAAGATACACAAACAGATGGGGGACTGGAGAATTCCAAACAAGATCCCTAAGGGAAGACCAGTAGTAAGCTATACAGGCTCTGACTTATATAAAATATCCAAAT